ATATCGAAATATTCAGTTCCCTTTCCTTCGAAAGCTCTCATGTACTCAATGGACAAATCAAACGCCTCTTCAATGAAATCATATGTAAGTAAGAGTCGAAGCAATTCCGGGCAGTTTTGTTTCTATTCAATCAAATGTTCAAATATATTAATAAACGAAAAATTTACATTACATTTACAATTATTAAATTTCATAAGTCATGAGGCAATTAATAAAATCAATATTAATGTGTAATGAGATTAAACGCTACTTTTTAAGCCAATTTCTAGTATAAAAACAAAAATAATTGTCTTAAACACAAAGCAAAAGTCGTTAATTAGTTTGTTATGGTTTTAAACATGTTGTGCCAAAATCTAAATTTCTGACACATTAGTGAACACTATCTACTAATTAACGAATAATGCTATCATTTTAATGACAAACGCATCCCATTATAAACACAAAGACAAAATAGTTTAATAATTGGATTAAAATGTCAATAATAAATCACCTGATATTTTAGTTTAAGACACGTTGGAATCATTAAACCATTGGCTAATAACTTCTCGGCGACACATCTCTTAAGACATGTCTGGCCTTCGGTCTCGTATTTGTGGAGATAAGTGGCGATCAAATGCCACATCTTGTCGACGGGCGCCATATCTGCGGCGTTTATAAAGCCCAGAGACGGCGTGTCGTTATCGACGAAACAATCGTAAACGTCGACAATTTCATAGCTGTTTCCCGATTGGACTAAATATATGTATTTGGAAACAATGCCCTCAAAGATGGGCTCGTATTTAAGTTTGAGTAGTGAACACAAATTGAACGCTAAGTCGAAGAGTGACGCGGATATGAGAAGAGTGATGGTTTCGGTGGCGTCGAGGGGTGTGTTTGCGATGGCGAATGTCTTCTCGTCCTTTTGCAATAAGCGAAGTCTCGCTTTCACTAATTCGTACTCACGTTTCATGTCATTGCTGTCCATTATTTCCAACTCTAATGATCTCTTAGCGCTTTCGTCGTCTCCACCGACGGCTCTCTTCGCGTTTGAGTGGAGTTTGCGTTTCGTGAGCGGCGATGAGGTCTCTCTTTTGTAGGAATGCTTAACAATCCACGAATACTTTGGATTTATTATTTTGAGACAATTCAAGACAATGAGATAAGCGTTGACCTGTTGTTTGATACTTTCCAATCCATTCACTTCTTGACTCAGGCGTCGGCAGAACTCGTACATCACAGACGCCGCGCGTCTATAGTTACTGTCTCTCACAAAATACGAGTACAAGAGGTGGTAATAATTGATTTGATTGGACGAAAGCAAATCTGTAGATCTGGCTCTCGATTCAATAATGTTGACGAATTCCTCTTCGATGTTGTTGTAGGAGAAGGCAGTGAGCGCTGATAATTGCCGGTTCTCGCAGTGATGGACAATGAATTGTCGCAAACATATCTTCTTCTGCGATAAATCGGGATTAGATATCATCG